TCTATCTATCTATCTATCTATCATCTATCTATCTATCTATCTATCTATCTATCTATCTATCTATCTATCTATCTATCTATCTATCTATCTATCTATCTATCTATCTATCTATCTATCTATCTATCTATCTATCTATCTATCTATCTATCTATCTATCTATCTATCTATCTATCTATCTATCTATTTATCAATCTCTCTATCTCTCTCTATCTATCTATCTATCTATCTATCTATCTATCTATCTATCTATCTATCTATCTATCTATCTATCTATCTATCTATCTATCTATCTATCTATCTATCTATCTATCTATCTATCTATCTATCTATCTATCTATCTATCTATCTATCTATCTATCTATCTATCTATCTATCTATCTATCTATCTATCTATCTATCTATCTATCTATCTATCTATCTATCTATCTATCTATCTATCTATCTATCTATCTATCTATCTATCTATCTATCTATCTATCTATCTATCTATCTATCTATCTATCTATCTATCTATCTATCTATCTATCTGTCTGTCTGTCTGTCTGTCTGTCTGTCTGTCTGTCTGTCTGTCTGTCTGTCTGTCTGTCTGTCTGTCTGTCTGTCTGTCTGTCTGTCTGTCTGTCTGTCTGTCTGTCTGTCTGTCTGTCTGTCTGTCTGTCTGTCTGTCTGTCTGTCTGTCTGTCTGTCTGTCTGTCTGTCTGTCTGTCTGTCTGTCTGTCTGTCTGTCTGTCTGTCTAGCTAGCTAGCTATCTATCTATCTATCTATCTATCTATCTATCTATCTATCTATCTATCTATCTATCTATCTATCTATCTATCTATCTATCTATCTATCTATCTATCTATCTATCTATCTATCTATCTATCTATCTATCTATCTATCTATCTATCTATCTATCTATCTATCTATCTATCTATCTATCCGTTTGTCCGTCCGTTTGCCTGTCTGTCTATCCATCAGTCTATCTGTCTCTCTATGTATATATCCATGCATCCTTCGTCTGCTTGCCCGTTCATATGTTTGTCTGTTGATCTGTTGCTGTCTGTCTGTTAATATGTATCTCTGCATGTGTATTGATCTGTCTATCTATCTATCTATCTATCTATCTATCTATCTATCTATCTATCTATCTATCTATCTATCTATCTATCTATCTATCTATCTATCTATCTATCTATCTATCTATCTATCTATCTATCTATCTATCTATCTATTTATCAATCTCTCTATCTCTCTCTATCTATCTATCTATCTATCTATCTATCTATCTATCTATCTATCTATCTATCTATCTATCTATCTATCTATCTATCTATCTATCTATCTATCTATATCTATCTATCTATCTATCTATCTATCTATCTATCTATCTATCTATCTATCTATCTATCTATCTATCTATCTATCTATCTATCTATCTATCTATCTATCTATCTATCTATCTATCTGTCTGTCTGTCTGTCTGTCTGTCTGTCTGTCTGTCTGTCTGTCTGTCTGTCTGTCTGTCTGTCTGTCTGTCTGTCTGTCTGTCTGTCTGTCTGTCTGTCTGTCTGTCTGTCTGTCTGTCTGTCTGTCTGTCTGTCTGTCTGTCTGTCTGTCTGTCTGTCTGTCTGTCTGTCTGTCTGTCTGTCTGCGTGTCTGTCTGTCTGTCCGTCTGTCTGTCTGCCAGTCTGTTTGCCTTCTTACAGGCCTGCTGAAATGTCTCCATGGCTCACTATTTGTCTGCCTGACTGTATATCTATATGTATACCTATTAATTATTCCATGCCCCAAACTGTATAGTCGTGAATAAGCTTGTTGAAAATTGACTTTAAAAAAGTATATGGGCGTCCACTCTTCCAAGAAATGATGTGGGAATCTGTTATTTGTTATTCATAACTCAGCACAATATACTGGTAGTTATTGTTTTTACAACACAATCAAACAAGGCTAAGTCCCTTTAGGTATTCCCAATTATATATATATATATATATATATATTAGTTAGTTAGTCTTTCCTCTTGTGTCGAGTGCGGCACATAGGGCAGAGGTCGCGACTCTCCATGCACGGCGGTCCGTTGCAATCCGTTGTAGGTCTTGGATGTTTGAGTGGCCCATGAGCGAGCCTTCCCTGATGATAGTTCTACGTAGGGTTTCCCTTGGTCTTCCACGAGATCTTTTCCCCTGTGGTGTCCAAATGAGGGCTTGGTAAGGAAGTCTTGATTTATCCATTCTAAGGGCGTGGCCGACATAGTCCCAGAGGCGTTTTCGTATATATATATATACATACATATATACATATACACACACACACACACATATATATATATATATATATATATATATATATATATATATATATATATATATATATAAGTAAATTTCTAAACACACATAGATATGCATAGATACACACAATATATATATATACATATGATAGAAACATACTCATTGCTTTCATGTATTCATCAAAGTTTTCACTGCTTTCTAGTTTCCAGTGACCAAGAAGTTTTTCCACCATTTTGCACCTGCAGACGATTGACAAGACATGGAAGACAGAACTACAGTAGAATATGATCGGTCATACAATATTCCATCAAATGGGGGTGGGGAGGGGGGGGGGCGCTAAACTGATAGTCCCTATGGCTAGTGCAATCATGACGCACTCTGCAAGTTAAGATTATTACTTTTGTCCCTGCTAGAACCTCCATCCCTCACAAACGATCGAACCCGTGTCTGCCAGATTACAGCTCAGCACACTAACCACTCGGTCAGTCACTCTTCATCGGCAAGTCGTCCCTCAGTATCTGACAAACTGAAATGTACAGGGTCTTCTCGACTGATGAATGAGTTCTGTTCCCACAGGCCGAAACTGGTCACTACTCAAATTAATTATTTTTATCACTATTTTCATTCAAAAACCTTTAAAAAAAATAAACAAAATTGGGTCCTTTTTTTAAACTCATTCCAAAACAAAGAAAATCATGGAGTTTGTAGAGAAGTGCAATATTCTAGGGGTGTTATGGATCGGAATTTGGGCTAGGGTTAGGATTCTCTGTCAACTCCTACCGCCTCTAAGACACTGACTAACCGTACCCCTAACTCGAACCCTTGCCCCTAACCCTAAACCAAACCTATAACACCCCTAGATTATTGCATTCACCTAGAAACTCCTGGATTTTATTTGGGGATTGTGGGTGGGGGGTGGTTTAAAAAAAAAAGACATTGTGGATAAAAGACAAAAAAAATCAATCTACCAAACGCGATGGGTTCAAAGAAACTGCTTGAACTTGTTGACATTACCAATGTGGCTATCTTTAGTCATTAACAAGTTTTTATAATTTTTTTTCAAGCAATTTTCCCCATCGTAAATTTAACAAAGAAGACACAAACAATAGACTGTGGAATTAAATGTCTGGCATGTGTATCTCATCAGACGCCAGTCATTACCTCCGCTCTGAACTTTGTAAACAAAAAGACATGATTCCGACATTGCGGCTGCCCTGATAAAACAGGCAGCTGCTTTTTGGCTGTTGTTGAATTAATACTTCGGTTAAAAAGGATTCTCTTATTTGCTTCACCTATGTAATTTTTACAGTAGTATGAACCTGACGAGACACAGAGAAATATGTCAGGCAATAAATTGTACAATCTATTGTTTGTATCTTCTTGGTTCAAATTTGTTATTTTATTATTGTAATTGTAAGTGTGGGTGGTCGTATTTCACATAGGTCGTGTCGTAAGTCGAGGAGAAGGTGGACTGATTGGCACTTAAAGATGCTGAAAAAAGAAGTATGAACAAAAAGACACTAATATTCTGTCCCAAATGGAGCAAAAGCCTTCCATACATTTATGCTGAGTCATCCTGTCCTTTGCATCCCATGGCCTATCCATCTAGTCTACTTCTCTGTCTAGTTTAATTCTTGATGCATTGTTCGTTTTCGTCTGAGTTTATTCTTTGACACCGTGGGTTCCAGTACACAAACATTCTAGTTAGATTGTTCTCGAATGTTCCCAATATTAAACAGCTTCATTTCCCCAAAGCTGAAGTTATTTTGGCCATGTTACCCGCCATGTTACCCGCCATGTTACCCGCCATGTTACCCGCCATGTTACCCGCCATGATTGAAGAGAACGGTTATGTAGGGTGCAGTTTCAGGAAAACAAAGCAGAGGCCGACCTGCACGAATGTGGACACAAGACACTGAAGATTCATCAGCTATAAATCACACAGGGCTGGATAATTGGCGAGAGAAGGTAAAATACATAGATAGATAAATGCATAGACAGACAGACAGACAGACAGACAGACAGACAGACAGACAGACAGACAGCTAGACAGATAGACAGACAGACAGATAGATAGATAGATAGATAGATAGATAGATAGATAGATAGATAGATAGATAGATAGATAGATAGATAGATAGATAGATAGATAGATAGATAGATAGATAGATAGATAGATAGATAGATAGATAGATAGATAGATAGATAGATAGATAGATAGATAGATAGATAGATAGATAGATAGATAGATAGATAGATAGATAGATAGATAGATAGATAGATAGATAGATAGATAGATAGATAGATAGATTAGATAGATTAGATAGATTAGATAGATTAGATAGATAGATAGATAGATAGATAGATAGATAGATAGATAGATAGATAGATAGATAGATAGATAGATAGATAGATAGATAGATAGATAGATAGATAGATAGATAGATAGATAGATAGATAGATAGATAGATAGATAGATAGATAGATAGATAGATAGATAGATAGATAGATAGATAGATAGATAGATAGATAGATAGATAGATAGATAGATAGATAGATAGATAGATAGATAGAAACATGCATTTACTTACAGTGAGATGTCTATTAACGAGTGTAGACAACAGAAGATACAGCCGTAAGTGTATAATCGATAGCCCTCTCTATGGCTTATATTCTCTAACACCCTCAGTAACAGGTTAAAGTTCGGCGCTAAAGGTTAAAGTTCAAGGTATTCTTTAGGAAAAGGCCTCGTGCTTGATATCTGCATTTTTTTCTCCGCTTATCGTGTTCTTGGGAGTCGCCGTGGCAGAGCGGCTAGACGCTTGCCAAGGATCGGAAGGTTGTGGGTTCGCTTGCTGGCGGAGCCGGAATTTTTTCAAATATGACCTTGGCTCCCAAGTCCACTCAGCCTTGAGTGGGTTTCTGGGTGCAGTCTCGGAAAGTAAAGCCGACCGGCGTAATGCTGACTCTATCACCTATTTCGTGCGGATTGGTCTATAAAATATAGGTTTAGCCCTATATGCCCTATACGCCTAAAGGTGTGGAAAAGGGTCCTTTACTTTGCTTACTTTTTATCGTGTCCATCTAATTATTTTTTTGCCAGATACAGTCTATAGAATTATTTATTAGTGAGGTCTTTCACCCCAGCATTCTAATCAATTTCACAGATAGTCCATTTCCTAAATAGTTCCAAAAAAGTTCGAAAGTGTTGATACTAGGAGGGCTGTACCGAATATTCGCTTCGTATTCGCTTCGGGGCTGAATAGTGGACCTATTGCCACTCGGTATTCGGCCCGAATAGTTGCGATCGGGCCGAATACGAATAGTAGTTACCTTACACCCGCTTCTGCATACACGGCCTTAATACTGACAACATGGAACGATTGGGTTTGTGGAAAGCTAACGCAGCTTTCCTGCATTAACTAAGCTGTCAGTGACAATTTCCAACTTTAGTTACTTGTTATAATACTTAGGATTCTTTAATTCCTAGTTATTAGCTACCACAGACTGACTGAAGGATGCAAAACATAAAATGTTTTTAAATGTTTACTTTTCTGTACGAATACTAACCATACATGGAAAGAATATAAACTTTGGCCACATCCAAGTCGATAGAATGAAATCAAATGAACGGAAACATATAAGTACTTGGATGCAAACTTTAACTGCTCCAACAAGCTGAGAGAAGAAATACAATCTAGAATACAATCTAAAAATAAAGAGTACTATGCCCTTCAACATCTGCTAGAGTCAAAGTGTCTGTCTCGCAACACCAAGACCAAAATATTTTAAACGTTGATTAGACTAATCGTGTTATATGGCTCTGAAACTTGGAGCACAACTTAAAGAGATGAAGCCTTATTACAGGTTTTCGAAAAAAGTCTTACGACAAATCTTTGGACCCATCAAAGATGCTAACAGCGGGGAATGGAGAGTTTGAAGCAACAACATAACACATAATCTGTTTAAATCACGATTGATCACTGGCATCATGAGAGCTAACAGACTAAAATGGTTGGGGCATAATGTAAGAATGTCAGATGACAGGTGATTAAAAACTGTATACACTTGAGAGATGAGTGGGCGTAGACCACGAGGCAGACACAAAAGAAGTTCGAGAGATAATGTCCAGCCAGACCTGCAAACAACTGGTGTCACAAATTGTGACAAGAAGGCCAGCCAGAGAGATGAATGGAGACGAGTGATATCTGCAGCAGATAAACCTCAAGGGCTCAGAATGCTAAAGAAGGTGCTACTTTATGTGAAGTAAAAGTTCAGCGTACATTTGACATTATAAATGTGTTTTTTAATAGATATATTTTATACACTATACACTATTCGTATTCGTATTTGGCCGAATAGTGAAAATCACTATTCGGTACAGCCCTAGTTGATACTGCCAATTTTTAATTGAGTGACCAAACGTCTTGCGTCTGTAGTAAAATGCGCATACCTGACAGCTCCAGGCTCCATTTCAGTATAAACTAGCTGCACAGGATACGGTGTTACGTTTTTCGCAGTATTTTTCTTTGCAATCTTGCATCGCTCTGGTCTATCTATCTATCTGTCTTCTTTTACTCCACCAGGACATCACACAAGCGATAAACATCCGATGACACAGTGCCACTATGTGGATGAGGATCACCCGTGTAGAGGTCCCAGAAACCGCGTTCAGCCATTAGACCAAATTTATGGCCGGGCTATATTGCAGCCCTTGGCAAGAGTCAGAGTAGGGCTTCAAATAACGAAAAATTGCATCCAACAAAGGGATGACTAGATATCGCCCTGGTCCATTCCAGAACCAGTCACAGTAACTACAGTGTCAGCCAGATGATGTGCACTCTCGTTGTCTCGAACACAAGAATAATGATAAAATCCAGACAGGCCCTTTGGAACTGCGGTTTTATATTTATTATTGCAGTAGCTACAAAGGTTTCAAAAAAATCACAGATACTTGACCCGATGCTTGCCTGTGGATACAAAGGTGGTGGGTACAAATCCATCAAAATTAAAAAAAAGAAAACCATGGCCCCAGGTCGACCCAGCCTTCAATGGGTACCTGGTAAAATCATGGTAGGTAAATTGGTCTATAAATTATATGTCTTGACACTAGATGCCCACTAAGTCTGAAGCAATGAAAAAGGGTGCTTTACTCTGGTTTAGTTTTGATCTGAGTTCGTCGGACGATAGTTTGTTAAATTATTTCCCTTTATCAATGTAGCATTCGTTTTT